GACTTCAAGACCTGTTTATCTAGCAATTGCTCTGAAAAAGTGCTGATGACAGACCATCATGGTGGGCCAATGATGTTTGTGATGTCTTGGGATATTAACAGCTGGGTCATGAGTGACAATCAACAATGGAAGGATCACATATGATTGGACTCAAGGGGGATGTTGCAAATTAATATTAGAACTGACAAAATGCAGATAAATGTATCTTGAGGATTTGCTTCTGAATGGGCTCATCGGTAGTGCATCTAACTGGTCTTAGCCAAGCAGTTGATACAACAGAGTCCAAATCTGTCTGCATGGGTTCAAAACCTGCTAAAGATGAAATTGCGAGTGATTATCAGAGTCAAAATCTGTTTCTCTTGGACTGCGCAGGTTTGAAACCTGCCAATGACAACATTTTTATTTTATGAAATCACACCACCGGTGAGATGGTGCTCTCAGGAAAGTACACATGAGTCTATTTCGAGGTGTGTTCTAACAGGAAAAAAAAAAACATATAGATCAGTGTCTGAGATGCTGTCTATGAGCAAATATTCAAGACATGTTCTAATAGAAAAAAATGCGACATTCAACAGGTTTCAAACCTGTTGCACTCCAATGGAAACAGATTTTGATTCTGTTATGACGACCACTTGGCTAAACACAACTCTGATGAGCTTTTAAGCAAACCGACCATGAGCATATATCAAGGTGAATTTTTATAGAAAATGAAAATTATCCTTGGCAGGTTTTAAACCTGCACAGTCTAAGAGAAGCAGATTTTGACTCTGGCGATCACTTGGCTATTTAATATTTGGTAGGTTTTGAACCCACACAGACAGATTTAGATTCTGTTGTATTGACTGCTTGGCTAAGACCAGTGAGATGCCCTTCCAATGAACTCATTCAGAAGTAAACCCTCAAGGCACAAAAGTTCAATGTATGACCAAAGTCTTGATGCAAAGTCAGAACGATAAGTACAAGAACAATTTGATTCTCTCCAAAGGTCTCGACTTGGTTGAAGAAAAAGAGCAGATTACACATCAAACTTTCCAGTTTGATTCTAATGACATGAGGAAGTTCTGAGATAAAGCAGAAGTATTTAGACAATAGTGCGACATTCTGCGCTTAGATGCTTTCAAGTGCTCAGTGTCAAATAGCAGTTATAGCGTATTTTGGACTTTGAGTCCCACAATATGCAAGATGGTGGTGGAAAGTTGTTCAGAGTCAAAAGATACATGGTGCTATGTAAGTAATTCTAAGTGCGTTCTCAGTGCGCAAAAGCAAGTCGGAAGCGCAGCAAATAGGCAAAAGTATGTAAGTCGCTTCTGAATGGGTTCATCGGGAGCGCATCTAACTGGTCTTAGCCAAGCAGTTGATACAACAGAATCTAAATCTGTCTGCGTGGGTTCAAAACCTGCTAAAGATGAATTTGCCAAGTGATCATTAGAGTCAAAATCTGTTTCTCTTGGACTGCGCAGGTTTGAAACCTGCCAGTGATAAATTTTGTTTTCTATGAAAACGCACCATTGTTCCATCAGAGTGCAACAAGTTTGAAACTTGTCGAATGTCGCATTTTTTCTCTAAGAACATGTCTTGAATATTTGCATGGTGGAATGTGATGAATCATGAGTTGATGCAAAAGGCACATCATTATACAGATTACAAACCTGCTTAGTTCAAGAGAAATATATTTTGACTCTGGCAATCACTTGAACAAGCACAATAAAGAATCTCAGCCTTGATGGATTTGTATTTTTCCTAATTCCCCAGGTTATTAGGATCAAACTTGAAAGTTTGATGTGTAATCTGCTCTTTTTCTTCTTCAACAAAGTCAAGACCTTTAGAAATAATTATATTGTTATTGTACTTATCCTTCTGAGTTTGCATCAAGACTTTGGTCATATATTGAACTCTGCGTCAAAAATACACTGTGTGATCCTTTCATTGTCAGTTTTCACTCATGGAGCCACCATGGTGGTCTTCCATCAGCACTTTTTCAGGGAAATTGTTAGATAAACAGGTCTTGTCTTGAAGTCAAGAGCCCCAGCAGGAAGTCTGTGTCTTTTGCAATAAGAGTAGGATAAAAAATCAACACCGACCATGCTATTGAAAGAGCTGATAAAATGCAGATAAATGTACCTTGAGTACTCACTTTTGAATGGGTTCATTGGAAGTGAATCTAACTGGTCTTAGCCAAGCTGCTGATACAACAGAATCTAAATCTGTCTGCGTGGGTTCAAAACTCGCTAAAGATGAAATTGTCAAGTGATCGTCAGAGTCAAAATCTGTTTCTCTTGGATAGCGCGGGTTTGAAACCTGCTGATGATAACATTTTTATTTTATGAAAATGCACCTTGACAGTCTGAAACCCATTGAATGCTGCATTTTTTCTATTAGAACATGCCTTGAATATTGAATCATAGACAGTCTCTTGGACACTGATCTTCATCAGTCTTAGTTGAGTTGTCACCAGAGTCAAAATCTGTTTCTCTTGCACTGTGCAGGTTTGAAACCTGCCAATAATAACATTTTCTCATGAATAGTTTTCTCAAAAATTCATTTAAAAATAGTCTCAGCCACATCATTGCTATGATAGATTCCAAATGTGTTCTCATCAAAGTCTGCAGGTTTGAGACCTGTCAGATGACACACTTTTTTTTTTTTTGTTTCATATTGCAACATACTCAATTAAATATTTGCTCATGGACAGCCTCAGACTTTGATCTTCATTGGTCAAACCAATATAAGTCGTGAGTCTAAGTATCAGAGAAGTGCTCACCTCTACTGGAATCGTGGTGATACTGGAGTAAGTCCAATTATTTATCTATCTACGTAGAAATACAGAAGTATGTAGGCAAAAGTTGTGGCATGATATTAGGTCCAATGTTCTATGTAATAAGATAAGAGGTGCTGCGGACTATGGGAAAACATGTAATAACACCCGTCTATGATGTGAGTAATGTGAGAAATAACAAACTGCGCACCTAGCAGGACTAGCAGGACAGGATGAGACATGGGTAGCATAAGTGTGTGTGATATCTGATTGGCCGATGTGAAACCTGATGTCTGATGTTTGATATTTTCAAGTTTGATGCATATTGAGTTGGATATCATAGAGAGTCAGTGACTCGGTCAATGTTCAACAGTTGGCGTGGATCATAAAACAAGCTGCTGCAAGGCTAGCAGTGGAACATGGTTCCATACACCAGCTTTGAATTTTTTTTTGGTTTCTCTTCCAAGAAAGTCGTGATGCCACCAGAAAATTGAGGCCTTCCAATTCATTTTAAGATTCATATGGAAATGTGAAGGTGCAATTTCATAGAATAAAAATAAAAATATTATCATTGGTAGGTTTCAAACCTGCACAGTTCAAGAGAAACAGATTTTGACTCTGGTGACAACTTGACTAAGACCGATGAAGATCAACATTTGAAATGCTGTCTATGAGCAGATATCCAAGACATGTTTTAATACAAAAAATGTTTCACTCAATGGGTTTCAAACCTGTAGACTTCAATGGAAACAGATTTTGAATCTATTGCAGCAATGACATGGCCAACATCAGTTGAGATGAGTTGTTGAGAAAATAATTCATGAGACAATGTCAAGATGTGTTTTCATAGAAAATAAATTTCATCATAGGCAGGTTTCAAACCTGCACATTTCAGGAGAAACAGATTTTGACTCTGTTGATCACTTGATAATTTTATTTTTAGCAGGTTTTGAACCCACACAGACAAATTTAGATTCTGTCATATCAACTGCTTGGCTAAGACCAGTGAGATGCACTTCCAATGGACCCATTCACAAGTGAATCCTAAAGGCAGTTCTTGCAATATCATGAAGGATCACATATGATTGGACTCAAAGAGAATGTTAGAAATTAATGTTAGAGCTGACAAAATGCAGATAAATGTACATCAAGAATCCACCTTCTGAATGGATTCATTAGGAGTGCATCTAACTGGTCTTAGCCAAGCAGTTGATGCGACAGAATCCAAATCTGTCTGTGTGGGTTCAAAACCTTCTAAAGATGAAATTGTCGAGTGATCATCAGAGTCAAAATCTGTTTCTCTTGGACTGCGCAGGTTCAAAACCTGCCAATGATAACATTTTTATTTTATGAAATCACACCTTGACATTGACTCATGTGTGCTTTCACATTGTAGCTTGCGCTCCCAAACACCCGCTTTATATGGTGTTTGTGGATGCACTGTTTTGTGTCCAAGAACATCTCTAGGCTCCATGTGATGTGACTCCGCATCCTGAGCGCAAATACCTCAAATCATGCTTTGGGGTTGTATAGCTTTCATCCCGCTGCCACTCGATACAAATGTATTTTCCATCTTTGATCCACAAGGCTTTGTTGATGCGCTCTGAGAAAAATTCATGCTGTCCAAAAGCACTCACTGCTTAAGAGAGTCAGAAAAGTGATGCCAGCGGTGTGATTGTAGTGCTGATCAAAACTGAATGTGCATCTGAACACAGTCCTTGGGCCAATCATGAACACAGACAGATGTCTTCAAAGGTCTTGACTTGGTTGAAGAAGAAGAGCAGATTACACATCAAACTTTCAAGTTTGATCCTAATGACCTGGGGAATGAGGAAGAATACACATCTGTAAAGGCTGGGATTCAAGGAAAAGATTCAAAAGAGCTATCTGGCCACCATTCACTTATGTATAAGGTTGAAGTGTACTGTATTTGAGACCTTTCATCATCATGTCGCTAGGGAACTGCACGGGTATGGGTATGCCCATGCGGGTGCGGGGTATGGGTACCTGTGTGGTATGGGTACGGGTTTGGTATTGCATTACCCGTACCCATACCCTTGCGCCATGTTTCGATCAAAACAGAGTGCCTTGCAACAAATACTATCATATCAAACTCGCTACAAACAGCAGTACTGTACAGTTACAAACAGTCAAACTTTAAACAATCAATGATATAGTGCTATAATACATTACCGGCGTGATGGCTCCGGCCTTGAAAATTTTCATCGCCCAACCACTGCCCACCATGCGACTCAACGAAGCCCTCACAGCTCCAGCAAAATGTGTCATCAAGATGACCGATAAAGCTAAAGCCGCATTGGAAGATAAAGCTTCTTCAAAGAAGCGTAAACCTGATGGTGGTGGAGACAATGTTAATCCACTGCTACCCAAAAAGGCCAAAATAAATGTACCAGCGGGGAGCATGACTCTGGCCAATAACACTTCCACAGACAAAGATAGGATATTATCACCATCACCAACTCCACCGCCAGTTGTGAGTAGGCATGCCATTGTGCACACAGAGGAGGAGGAGGAGGCATTGCATGAATATATCGACCTGGACAATAATGAGCCCGCAAATGGTGATGAGGTTGATGATGCTGACGAGGATCCTGAAGATGAGCTGAGTGAGTCCAGCAACCTATACATCAATATCAGATTAATTGATTATACAGAGCAGCTAATGAAAGAATGGAACTCATCTGTTTACACATTTTCGATCCCACACCGCACATCATTGAGATTGGTGACCATTGTGCGCATGAGTTCAAGTGCCAAGCAAGGGGTTGCAAGGTCAAAGTACGATGGTTCCTCAATAAGGGCGATGCACGATCCACAGGTAACATGCAGAAGCATGTGCACTTGTGCTGGGGAGACGAAGTCTTGAAAGCTGCAGATAGTGCGAAGGATGCAAACAAAGTGCGCCACAAGATCATAGGAAGTATTCTGCGAAATGGATCCATTACTGCATCCTTTGAACAGAAAGGCAAAGGAAAAATAATGTACTCGCACTGTCAACACACTCGCACCAAAACGAGGTATGGTCCTAGTATGGTCCTGGGAGTCCAAGTCTAACAACGCATTCAGGGCGGAAATTGTTCGTTGGGTGGCCGAGAGCCTACGTCCATTCGATATAGTCAAGGACCATGCTTTTCAGTCGCTGATGATAACAGGGAGACCCAAATACTACATACCTTCCCTGTCCACAGTTTCTTGCGATGTGCGACTCATCTTTCCACAGACTCGAAAATGGGTGACTAGGATGTTGCGCATCAGTGGTTTTTTTTATCAGAAAACAATTAAGTATTCAAAATGTACCAGGAATACAAAGGCAAGATTAATTTCACTATGGATGGTTGGACATTGCCCAACCATCGCGCGCTGGTCGTGTTTTTGGTGCACTTCGAGTATAAAGGGGAGCCACTGAGTATTCTGTTAGATGTGATTGAAGTTGCAAAGGTAAAATTTATAAAGGGAGCACATACTTATCAACTGATGAGACAACAGTCCCACACCGGCGAAGAGCTTGCAGAGACATTTGCAAAGATGCTAGACAAATTTGACGTATCAGAAAAGGTAAATTTTAAACCAAAAAAAAACATACCTGCAGCTAAATGTGTCATGCGCAGATCCTGAGCGTGACTTGTGATAATGTGTCCAACAATGACACAATGATCCATGAACTCAGTAGTAAGGTACCTGAATTTGGCAGAGCAGCAACTCACACGAGGTGTTTCCTCCACACCGTAAATCTCATGGCGAAAATCACTGATCTGAGAGTTCGATGTGAAGAAACAAGATGTCGACCTTGAGCTTCAAGACTTGAGTGCCAATATTGAGGAAGATGCGGAAATCAGGTGTGAGGAAGATAACGATGAGCGATTGATTGATGAGGTCGAGGTGTTGGATGCAGAAGAACGAATAACACTAGAGAAAGATGTTCGACCAGTAAAATTAGCACTTGCCAAAGTAAGTTCAATCAAACTAATAAAACTCACCATTGATCCTAATCCATATCCCAGTTGCGAAAGCTCACATACAAAATCATCCACTCGACCACCATCATCCTTCCAGCATGGCACAGCATCCTGCAAGACTTGGCACAGTTGCAAATGCTCATGCTGCGAGATGTGGCGACTCAATGGATTTCGACCTTTGATATGCTGAGTTACGCTGTTGGACATCGAGAAGCCATAGATGCTGTCACCCAATGGTGGGACTTGGGCTTGCAGAAGTTCAAGTTGGAGGATCACGAGTGGGTAATACTAGAACAGCTGTATGATGTACTTGAGGTCTGTGCATTCCTTGTGTGTCACAACTGCGCTCACATTGTTTGTATCTTTGATGAGCAACTCCCAACCTCACGACAGTGATTCCAGCAATGAATCACATCAACAGGATGCTCATATCATACTCCTACAACAAGAAATACCTTCCTTCAATTCGCTCAGCAGTCCGGCTGGCCAAGAACACTCTCAATCACTATTACCAGCTCACAGACAGATCTCAGACATATCACATATCAACGGGTATGTTCTGAATCTTTACTTATTTATATCAACTAACATTTGTATACTTCTAGTCCTACATCCACAGCACAAACTAGCCTACTTTAAGGCTGCGCAATGGGAAGATGGCTGGATCAAAACCGCGGAGCAAGTTGTCCGCAAGGAATTTGAAGATTCATACTCATCAATCAATGATGACTCTGACACTGGGTACGAGAATGACGTCTTCAAGTCAAACAATGATGCGCAGATGGCAAGTTTTATTTTATTTTGTTTCGTATCTGTACTGAATAATTCTTAGAGTGATAATATATTTGACAATCTCCTGGCACTCGCACCCCCAAAACCTGCCAGTCAATGCTCTGAGCTCGACTGATATCTCAGCATGGATGTTGAACGTGTCACTGACCCTATTGGTTGGTGGCTCGAGTGTCAGAAGTCTTTCCCATGGCTTTCATGCATGGCTATGGACTACCTAACCATCTCCAGTATGTAACTAATTTTTTTGACATGCTGTGGGCTTATATTTTGCCACAGCAACATCTGTGGATGTTGAATGACTATTCAGTCATGGCCGCCTCATCCTGACACATGTCAGAAGTTGTCTTTTGGCACAGTCATCACGTGCACTTCTTTGTCTTGGCCAATGGAGTGAATTGGGCCTCATCGAGTCCGAGGACGTGATTAAGGTATCAAAGCTTCCAGACGTCATGGGAGATGATGAAGCTATGGATGATGGATGGGACAGCATCAATAGTGCAGACTGACTGACTACTACTTTTGTTATCTCGTAGGTACATAATTCATTGATACCTTGCAGGTATACCCTCCATGGGTCATACCCCGGGTCTGTTTTGCAGATACCTGTTGTGAAACCCATACCCGCAGTTGGGGTACAGGTATATCTGTGGGTATGGGTACGGGTTTGACTGCTGATACCTAGGGGTATACCCATGCAGTTGCCTACATGTTGCTCTTCTCTCGCTCTTTGAAAGTGTTGTATCACAGTCTGTATTCAATTCATCTGTTCAGCTGAGGGAAAACATTGTGAGTGACAGGGAATGGTAGACTTATCTTGCAGATTTACTTTTGAATGTCTTCTTTTAACATGCATTCAAATGGTGTTAGTCAGACAGTTGCTACAACAGAATCCAAATCTGTTTCCAATCTGCATTTGTGGGTTCAAAACCCGCTAAAGATGAAATCACCAGTGATTATCAGAGTCAAAATCTGTATCTCTTGGACTTTGCAGGTTTGAAACCTGCCAATGATGAAACTTTTTTTTTCCATGAAACCACTAAGAATTCCAGCAGACATTTGGAAACAAGAGTTAAGGCTACTTGGATGAAGTCTGGAGTAGAAACCAACAGCAGAGGACCACCAGAGGTGGAGGCAGAGATGTATAGTCAATTGGAATCAATCCTAAGACTTTTGGAGAACAACAAGAGGAGAAACTCAAGTTAAACAGAGGCAGGAGTGAGCACAATCTAAGATGATATTTGAACTGAGGAAATACAGAGATGTTATAGGGTTTATATACTATGGGAAATGTAATAGAAGTGTGCCTCTGTTTCTGATTTTTGCAACTTAGCTTCCTACAGTGCACTACCACCATATGGTTCGTGTCACACATGATTCCATTGTCTAATCCAACCTCACAAACATATTGTATCTTCATGTCATGAATCCTTACTTACATACTTGCTTTGCTTCCGACTTGCTTCCATGTCCTGTGAGCACACTTAGAATTACTTAGACTTTAATGCTGTGGTGACAATTTACTTGGCAAAGAATGACACTTAGAATTACTTACATAGCAGTATTCTTTATCTCTTAACAAATTTACATCACCATCTTGCAGATTGTCTGACTCCAAGTCTAAATTCTGCTATTCTATAATCACTGCTTAACACTAAGCACTTTAATTGACTCAAGAGAGACATGGGTGAGCCCATGATGTTTGTAATGCCTTTGTATTAATGACTGGGCCCATGAGTGACAACTAACAATAGAAGGATTATATAGTTGGGCCTAAGTGTGATGTCAGAAATTGATGCACTCACCTAGTGCAATGAGATGGAATCTAATGGCTGAGCCAAAGGTGGTGATATACAAATGCAAGGATTGGACCTAGTTGGATGAGTTAGAATTTGATGTCTGGGTCTGATACTTACATTTGTACATCACCATCTTTAGCCTAGCCATAAAATTCCACTTCATCACACTGGACTCAGACATCAATTTCTGACATTTCACTTACTAGGCTGATCCATATGATTCTTCCACTATTAATTGTCACTCGTGGACCCAGTCATTAATACCAAGGCATCACAAACATCATGGGCCCACACATGTCACTAAGCCTACACATGAATCTGGACCTAGTGCAGATAAATGTACCTTGAGAATTTACTTCTGAATGGATTTGTACCGAGTGGCAGCAGGATGAAAGCTATACAACCCCAAAGCATGATTTGAGGCATTTGTGCTCAGGATGCGGAGCCACATCACATGGAGCCTAGAGATGTTCTTGGACACAAAACAGTGCATCCACAAACACCATATAAAGCGGGTGTTTGGGAGCGCAAGCTACAATGTGAAAGTACACATGAGTCGATGTCAAGGTGTGATTTCATAAAATAAAAATGTTATCACTGGCTGGTTTTGAACCTGCGCAGTGCAGGAGAAACAGATTTTGACTCTGATGATCACTTGACAATTTTATCCCTAGCAGGTTTTGAACCCACACAGACAGATTTGGATTCTGTCGCATCAACTGCTTGGCTAAGACCAGTTAGATGCACTCCTAATGAATCCATTCAGAAAGTGGATCCTTGATGTACATTTATCTGCATTTTGTCAGCTCTAACATTAATTTCTAACATTCTCTTTGAGTCCAATCATATGTGATCCTTCATGATATTGCAAGAACTGCCTTTAGGATTCACTTGTGAATGGGTCCATTGGAAGTGCATTTCACTGGTCTTAGCCAAGCAGTTGATATGACAGAATCTAAATCTGTCTGTGTGGGTTCAAAACCTGCTAAAGATAAAATTATCAAGTGATCACCAGAGTCAAAATCTGTTTCTCTTGAAATGTGCAGGTTTGAAACCTGCCTATGATGAAATTTATTTTCTATGAAAACACATCTTGAC